CCGTGCTGCAATATTATTTGGTTTGTTCAGATTTTACTGGATATGCGTGCGTGCTACGCAGAAACCCAGCTGAGCGTTTAAGAAATAAAAAAACTTGAGTACAAACACATATATATATATATATTTGGGTGGTCCTTAAAAATCAAATGAGCGATTTTTTTCAGTCTTACCCCTCAATCGGTAATACCACGGTCACAGATATCACATACAAATTTTGGTCCCGATTGGAGACGGTTAAGTCGTGTCGCACAGGAGCCAAAGTTCAGATTCCTCTATAGAGCTGGAAAAATTAAAATATATTTTTTTGCCAACTCATACCCAAAATCAATTTTACCTTAGTCGAAGATATCACATATAAATTTTGGTCCCGATTGGAGTCGGTTAAGGCGTCTTCATCGGGTAATCTGAACTTTGCCCCCTGTGCGCCACGCCTTAACCGACTCCAATCGTTGCCAAAATGTGTATGTGATATCTTCGACTATAGTAGTATCGACGTAGGGGTTTAGGCTTAGGAAATCTGATGTAAAAATTTTGCTTCCTACATTTAAGGACCACGCTAATGTATGTTTAGTTTTATGCTTTTTGCTATCATTTAATAAATGCTAGCTCCTGTCTATATATGTATGTATGTAAATGTAATAAAAAAATTATGCATTTCCTTGGGTGCCAAATCACCAACTGCCGATTTTACCAGCAATTTGAAAGTGAAAGAGGTTTTGAAAGTTCTCTGAAAATTTTGTTGAATTTTTTATAAAGTTAATCCTTCCATCTGCTATAGTTACAAGTTGTATTAGCTTTATAACTATAATTATTGAGAGCCCATTTATGGTTACTCAATGTCAGGCAGTGTTGCCGTTGAGAATTTTCAGAAAGGCGCAAAACGGGGCCATTGACTAAAAAAGGGTGACCATATTCTTTTTGATTTCTTTACTAGTAAAAGAATAAATCTGAGATCCAAAGTCAAAATCAAATTTACATGTAATAAAGTCTTTTCGCTTCTAGAACGTTCCGCTGTTGAATTTAAAAAGAAAATAGCGGGACAAGCTTTGCAAAAAACAGGGTTGCAAGCATATGGGCAAATCTAAAAAACAGGTTACCTTTGATATATAAAACATAGGTGTGCTCACAAATTTAGAAATCAATTTTCTTTTTGGAGAGTGTACCTATTTTTTAGATTTGCCCATATACAGAAATCGAGTTCCGGCAAGGAGAAGAGTGGCATTTCCTTTAAAACTTTTAAGTGATGAATTTTTTCGTACTTACAGGAGGAAATATTTTTTAATATCATGGTTCTGTTAATATTTCCTGAAAAAAAAAATCTCTGAAAAGGCCAAAAGTCGCACATAATTTTGGAAAGGGTCAAAAAATAAAAATTTCCAAAAGGTCAGGTCAAGGGTTATTGGCGCTTAAAAATTGTCAAATTGACCCTTTAGTCGCACACTGCAGGCTAAACATCGTTAACGATGTGATCGACTTCATAACATATCTATAATAGAGAGTCGATAACGTCGACAACAATATTTAACCTGTAGCTAGTGTTAACTACATAGACATTGAGTAAACGTCGCACACTGTGCTCCCAAAAGTCCAAAATTAAATGGTTTAAGATGGCCACGATTTTTGGTATTCTGGCTGACTAATATTCAGCTACTAAGTCGGCACCGGCGAACCGTTATACATATAATATAATAATAATAGATTGGCGCTTACACATATCTTAGTGTTTGGCCGGGATTCTCCTCCGATTTGTGGCGTGCGCCTTGATTTTTTGACACAAAGTGGAGGAACCTACAGTTTTGCGCCGACTCCGAACGGCGATTGTATTTTTATGAGAGGCTGTTATTCCTGTCAGAAATACACCCGGATGATTGCCATTGGCTACCGAGAGGCGACCGCTGTTAAGAAGAACCATTTTTCTATATTTATTTTCGATGTTGCTTTGAACAGGGCTTGAACCCAGGCCCTGAGGAGTGGTAGCGCGCACTGCTAACCACTACACCATAGTGGCCGCAATGCATATACTTGCCATTATTTCCAAAGAAATATTAAATGTAGTCGCAGAGTGGATTGTGGACGGATTTGAATAAAAATGTGTTCCTCAATATACTTGAGAGCGCTGAATTCAAAATAGCACTTGGTTTTTTGATAACTTTCATACTTCCACTGTAAATGCAGTTTGAAGTTGAGAATTTGGGTTCTTGTAACATTTGCATAGGTATGTACATAAAGTTCGCTCTATTTTAAAAAGGGAGGTGTCAAATGACAGGCTAGGCCTGTAGATGTGCAATAGGCTTTTATTTTTTTAAACAGGTTGCCACCTTTTACAAATTTTATTAAAATTATTTAATAAGTTCAATGAATTAGATATTA